GCGGCTCACTGCTGTGGTCCCAGCACTTTGGGAAGCCGGGGCAGGTGGATCACCTGGTGTCGGGAGTTTGGGACCAGCCTGATTAGCATGGAGAAACCCCAACTCTACTAAAAATACAAGACTGGCTGGGCGTGGTGGCGCATGCCTGCAATCCCAGCTGCTGAGGGTGGAGGGGTGCTGAGACTGGCAAATCGCTTGAGCCTGGCAGGCGGATGTTGGGGTGCGCTGAGATCACGCCACTGCACTCCCGCCTGAATGGCGGTAACAAAATTCCATCTCAAAAAACAAAAAATCCACATGAATAAATATAGCATAAGTCCACTGCCTAAGATGATAAAAGAAAAATTAGGTAAAGGCAAATTAAGGTTAAGTCTAGTATAGCCTATAGGAAAAAATTATCTGTACTGCTAAATAAGACTGATAGTCAAAGCTCCCAGTCCCATAAATCAGATCATGCCCAAATGAATGCATAAAAATCCACCAAGAGGGAGTCTCTGAGCCTATTGTGGCTCAGGAGGCTGCCCGATTGGAAAATAAATAAATAAATAAATAAAATCCACCAAGAGGGTCTAAACTGTTAGGAACACTTCCACTTCGGAATTACAAGCACTCTTGCAGTCTGTTATCCGTATAAGCAAAAGAAAGATATTTGAAATTCTTAAATCCTTCTTATGATAAGGGGTTCTTCAATGATGCCCTTTCATTCAGGCTTAGAGGGCCGCCTTGTATAATCCTTGTTAAGGAATAAACAAATAACACTTTGTAGTACCCAAAAAGCCTTGGGACAAAAACATTACACCTTAAAGGCTAAAAGCAAATACACTCTCTCTCTCCCCTCACCTGTTTGTTTGTTTGTTTGTTCGTTCTCGGAATTACTGGCACCCACCACCACACTAGGCAAATTTTTTGTCTCTTTAGTAGAGACAGGGTTTTGCCATGTTGGCCAGGCTGGTCTCGAACTCCTGGCCTCAGGTGATTCGGCCAGCCTCCGCCTCCCGAAGTGCTGGGATTACAAGCATTGAGCCACCATGCCTGGCCCTGTCTGTTCTTTTACATTAACTTTACAGTGTACTTGCCATGTTTCAAAAATAAATTTAGTTGGAATTTTATTGTAATTGTATGAGACATGATTTAGTGCAAGATGAACACACAACATTATTACTAATATTTCCATCCAGCTACGACAGGTTTCTTTGTTTTCTCTAGTTGTCTTTGATATATCTCTTATTAAATTTGTAACTCTGGTACATTTCATAATAATCATACATTATATTTCATTATTTCTAATTATAATGCATTGCATGTACATTTACTATGTACCAGATAGTATGCAATATATTCATTATCTCAATTTATAAAACAATCATGTGATTTAGTTGGTGTTATTACTAGATTATTACCATTATACAAGTAAAGAAACTAAAGCCAAAAGAAAGAAAATAAGAGACTCAGCAAAATCAAACCAATAAAGACTTAACTAGAATTGTTGGGCATATAATAAAAATTTAGTATGATTCAATGAAAGCAAAGAAGCATTTTAAAAACCGACCAGGCAGATTTGAAAAGGAGCCAAATAGAAATTCCAGAAATAAAAACATAATTGTTGAAACTGAAGACAGATTTGACAGATTACATATAATTGAAAAGGAAAATGTAAACTAGAAGACAGGCTGAAGAAATTGCTCAGAATGAAGCCCAAAGAAGTAAAAAATGAGAAAGAGAACAATTAAGAGACATGGAAGACAAGAGTGGTAAGATGCTACAACTAACAGGAATTTCCTAAGTAGAGAAAGAAAATGTTAGGTTTTGTAAAAAAAGATAATGGCTTGGAATGTTCCCAAAGTGACGAAAAAACTCTACCCTTCAAATTCAGGAAGCTCAAGTTGGATAGATTTAAAAGGGGGAAGAAAAAACACCTAAATGCATCATAAAAATAATGGAATTCCAAGGAAAATAATGTACTGAAACAACCAGAGGGAAAATTCACATTATCCATGAAAGAATACAGATTTAGAACAACAGCTAATGTCTTAAAAATGGAAGCAAGAAGACAATGTACTAAGAAAAAATAATCACATACCAAATTAATTTTTTAAGACGGAGTTTTACTCTGTCATCCAGACTAGAGTGCAGTGGCACGATCTCAGCTCACTGCAACCTCGGCTTCTCGGGTTCAAGTGATTCTCCTGTCTCAGCCTCCTGAGTAGCTGGGACTACAGGCATGCGCCACCATGCCCAGCTAATTTTTTGTATTTTTAGTAGAGACAGGGTTTCACCATGTTAACCAGGATGGTCTCGATCTCCTGACCTCATGATCTGTCCACCTCTGCCTCCCAAAGTGCTGGGATTACAGGCATGAGCCACCATGCCCGACTAATATGCCTTTTTAATAAACAGGCCAAAAATAAGACAATATTTAAGTCACAAAAACCAAACAAATACTGAATTTGCCAATCAAGAGACCTTCACTAAAGGAAATTCTAAGAGGTGTTCTTCAGTAGAAGGCTGTTCCCCTAGATGGAAGACTTGAGTTGCAAGAAGAAATAGTGAGCAAGTAAGAAAACAAGACAAATGTAGATAAATATAAATGAATACTGACTATACAACATGTAGCTTCCAACGGATTAAGAATCAGATGAGAAGCAAAACTATAAAACTTTAAATACAGTAAAACTACCTTAATAACCCCAGGGGGTCTTCATATAAAACCTAAACAAATTCAGTTTAGCAAAAAACACTATCAGGATCAAAGACCCAAATATAAGAGGTCTACAAAATTTGTAGAAGAAAACATAGGTATAAATCTGTGACCATGAATCAGGCAATGGCTCTTAAATATAACACCAAATTCAAGAGTGACAAGAAAAGCAAACTGAACTTCATAAAAGTTCAAAACTTTTGTACATCACCCAGGACTTTGGGAGGTCAAGGCAGGCGGATCAGGAGGTCAGAAGATCGGAAACCCCATCTCTACCAAAAATACAAAAATTAGCTGGGTGTGGTGGCAGGTGCCTGTAGTCCCAGCTACTTGGGAGGCTGAGGCAGGAGAATTACTTGAACCTGGAAGGCAGATGCTGCACTAAGCCAAGATTGCGCCACTGTACTCAAGCCTGGCAACAGAGTAAGACTCCATCTCAAAAGAAAAAACAAAAAAAAAAACAAAACTTTTGTCCATCAAATGATACTATCAAGAAAGTGAAAAGAACCCACAAAATGAGAGAGACTATCTAGTAAGTCATATATCTGATGACAGACTAATATCCAGAATATATAAAGAATTCTTAGAACATCCACCTAGATTTCAGAGGATAAAGANAAAAAAAAAAAAAAAGAATTCTTAGAATGATAAAAAGACAACCCAATTAAATAATGAGCAAACAGTCTAAATAAACATTTCTTGAAAAAAGATATACAAATGGCCAATCAGCACATGAAAAGATGCTCAACATCATTAGTCATTAAGGATATGCAAATGAAAACCACAACTAGATACCACCTCACATCTACAAGGATGGCTATATTTTTTTAAAAAGGAAAACAGCAGATGCTGGCAAGGAGGTAGGAAAAAATGGAACCTCCATACACTGCTGTTGAGAATGTAAAATGGTACAGAGGCTTTGGAAAACAGTTTTGAAGCTTTTCAAAAATTTAAACATAGATTCACCATATGTCCACTCCTAGATAAAAGAAACCTGTAAAAATATGTCCACAGGAAAATGAGACATGGCTCTCATCACAGTACATTATTAATCATAGTCAAAAATGAACAAAACTCAAACATCCATCAACTACTGAATGATAAGCAAAACACAGTATACTCATGCAACGGAATTCAGGCATAAAAACTAACGAAGTGCTGAGACAAGGTTCAACATGGATGAATTGGGACCACATGCTAAATAAATGAAGCCAAACACAAAAGGTCACATATGATTCTATTTTTTCTGATATCCAGCACAGGCAAATCCTTAGAGACAGAGAATGGACTAGTGGTTGCCAGGGGCTGGGGAAAGGGGGAAATGGGGAGTAACTACTGGAGTTTCTTTTTGAAATGATAAAAATATTCTGGAATTAGAGAGTGGCGATAGCTGCGCAACTTTATGAATACATTAAAAGCGCGTAAAGCTGGGCACGGTGACATGCACCTGTAGTCCCAGCTACTTGGGAGGCTGGGCAGTAGAATTGCTTGAACCTGGGAGGGAGAGGCTGCAGTGAGCCAAGATCGTGCCACTGTACCCCAGCCTGGGTGATAGAGTGAGACTCCAAATCCAAAAAAAAAGAAAAAAAATGCACTTAGTGTACACTGAGAGTGAATTCTAGGCTAAAAGTGAAATGACAAACCACAAACTAGGCAATATCTGCTATACACATATCTGACAAGGGACTTCAGGAAATCCTAAAAATTTTAATGACAGAATAGGAGAATATAGATGCAAGACTTACAACAATGGACACAAGGAACCCAAATAACTGATAAACAAATGAAAATAAGCTCAGTCTCCTCCCTAATCAAGGAATACAAATTGAAACCACAGTGAAAACTATTTCATATCCAACTTTAAAAAATGTATCAAGTAAAGGCAAGAATGTGCACAAACCAGTACTCATATAAGCTGCCGGTGGGAATGTAAAATGGTATTACTTCTTAGCAAATTTGGTATCATCTATTAAATAGTTCACTGTGTATAATCTTGGGCCAAGCACTGCAATTCCTGGGCACACGCCCTAGAAAATCTCTACATATGAACTAAAAACCATTAACATTGTATGGAATAGAAAAAAACAACATCAAAAATAGAATGGACAAACAAATTTCACTCTCTACAATTATATAATCAGTGTAGCAGGGAAAATGAATGAATGCAAGAAAACCACAATAATAGCAAAAAAACAGCAAGTCATAGAATATATAAGGCATGATTCCTTTTATGTTAAGTTTCAAAATATGGAAAACTCAAAATTATCTTCCGTAGGAAGACAAACATACATTCTTAGAATATATTAAGCAAAGGCATTTACTTGTTTCTTTTTCAGTTTAAGGATCTGCTGTTCTACTTTTGCAATTTCTCGATCTACACGATCCATACTCTGTATTAACTCTTCCTTTGAAAGTTTTGAAGGTGAAGCGTTTTGATCATCTCCACATGGTTGCCCCGAAATTGGAGAGGATGGAGCGTCATGTTTGCCTCCAAATGCTGGATCCTTTAGAGAATAAAACCAAGAAAAACAATTTATTTCTAATAGAGTCCAGATTGCCTGAAATGAAAAAGTCAGTTTTAAACCACAGCAGAGCCATGTGTACGTGTTTAGTAGTAATTTTCATATTCACATACATGCATATTTACACCTCACTTTTATAGTCTGATATACCATTTACTATTTTGAAGAGCCTAAAAGCTATACAAAGTGAAGTAAGTGAGTGTTGATCAACCTCTAGTGTCACAATTACTGACACTGTAGAGAATTTCTGGGTAAATAGTAAAATCATGACAAAGAAAGACACCAATTTCTCAGCCATTTCCTTGCAATGGCTCCTTAAAGAGTCTGAACAAGTGGCTGGGAAATAGTATCATTCCAGGTAAAAACCTGTGTGACCACATAACTTAACAACTACAATATGGCCAAGAGTTCTCATCAAAAAGTTCTTAGGCTTTCCAAATGAAAACTGAGGTATACACACAAGTCAGAGAAGTGACCTAGGAACTTCAGTTGCTACTATCTCTGGGCCTGCTTTCATATAGCCCACACTACAGCATACGTAACACTTCTGTAGCCAAAAGCATCCCATTGCACCTCCAAATTAGCAGAGAGCTGGAGCAGAATGAAAGCCCCTCCACCCAAACATACCCTCCAACACACATACACACACACACCCTATTAATTTCCAGTTTGCTGTTAAGATATGAGCAATATTGGGAGAAGGATGTGAGGCTGGGGAAAAAAAAAGATATAAGCAATATTATAACACATAAATTTTAGATTAAGGCACTAGTTTCCCTTAGACTATGAGAAACCTACAATAAGCGTAGTTCACAGGATTACAGAACCCTAAAATGTATTAAATAATGATTAAGGAACTGTGAAAAGTCAGTAGGTCTGAGCCACGAATGCATACAGGAGATAACTGGACAGTTGCTTCAAAACACCTTAATACAGATATTTCAGCTAATACAGATTGATGAAAAGCCTTATATTCTGTATAGTATACACTGAATCTAAGAGGTTTTCTGGGAAAATAAGATTATGGCTATACCCTAAAACCTGTACAATTCTGTAAGGAAAGCACCAACAAAATCAATAACAATTCTAATACACTTCATACAGTTAAAGCTCCAGTATCACTGGCATCTGGCATACAGTCAATCTTTGGCTGCCTTAAGCCCTACAGATTCCTCTCTTAAGATGTAAATCGTTGAGGTCATTGGCTTCCAAAATAAACCAGTATGTTTCATTTTAATAAAAAATCAGATTTGGCATATAACCACCTTTATCAACCTTTTTTTCTCCCCCTCCCTCCTTTATCAACATTAAAAAAATATAGGAAAATTTGTCTTCGCACTGTCCTTTCAATGCTCAAATCTTCACTAACACCATGAAAAGCACAATGGTTCTTAAATTCAATAAACCAGCTACTATCTGCACTAAATGAAAACTAAGTGCAGAATGTTCAAATATTTTTAAGTCTTCATGTGTTGGGATGCCTTTTGCTTTCATGATGAGAAAGCGTGCTCCTGAGAACTCTGAAACATTAATGCATAAAGAAAAATCTTGGGCCGGGCGTGGTGGCTCACATCTGTAATTCCAGCACTTTGAGAGGCCAAGGAGAGAGGATCACGAGGTCAGGAGATCAAAACCAGCCTGACCAACATGGAGAAACCCCATTTCTACTAAAAATACAAAATTAGCTGGGCATCGTGGCTCATACCTGTAATCCCAGCTACTTAGGAGGCTGAGGCAGGAGAATTGCTTGAACCCCAGAGGCAGAGGTTGCAGTGAGCCAAGGTTATGCCACTGCACTCCAGCCCAGGCAATAGTAAGAGACTACGTCTCAATAAAAAAGAAAAGAAAAGAAAACTCTTTGGTGACCCACCAGGACTTTCATGTTACATTAATATCATTTACCCACTGTACGCATATGACCAAATTTGTGTTACAGAAACATATGTAATATATTTTGATTCAGTAGGCTTCAAAAATGCTCCTCAGGTGATTCTGATGCATGCCCAAATAATAGTATAAAAATCAACATTTTCCACCAGCTTCCTTTCTAAATATTAAATATTTAACAAGAAACCAAATCCTCA